GTAAGCAAGTTGTGTACATGCATGTTTTGTGTGCATGTTCATCACGTATGTGTGCTTATGTGCCTTTGTGCATGTGTGCGTGTGTTGTATGTGTTCGGTAAATGTGTACGTGTGTGTGCATGTGTTTGTTGCACGTGTGCATATTGTGTACATGTGTGTCCATGCATGTTTTATGTGCATGTTCATCATGTCTGTGTGCATGTGTGTGCTTGTGTATCTTTATGCATGTGTGCGCGTGTTGTATGTGTTGGTAAATGTGTGAATATGTGTACATGTGTTTGTTGCAGGTGTGCATATTGTGTACATGTGTTTTGTGTGTGGGCATTGTGTGTACATGTGCATCGTGTGTACATGTCTGTGAGTGGGCACATGTATATTTACGTAAGTGAAGAGGTCTGGGTCTTCAGGAGTTTTGGGAGGAGCAACCTGCCTCTTCTTAGCTAGTGCTGGTGCTAGAGACAGGGGTCCTGTCTCCAAAGCCCACTCTGCACTGGTCTGTCACCTGCTGACCCCCTTCCTATAGTTGTGTCCCTTTACAAACCCTTCACTGCAGCCAGTGGTTGCCAGGGTCTTACCTGCCTCTGCTCCTCTGGCGTGTCTGTGGCATAATCGGATCTTGCCACTCCAAGTCCTGTGTCCTCTGCTCTGTGCCACCCCAGCCCTCCAGCTCCAACTCGAGGCACCCCCACTCAGCATGGCCCAAGCATCCACCCCAAAACTAGGGACTCTCACTCATACACACACTCTCTCTCTCCTTTCTCTCTTTTCTTCTCTCTTTCTTTTAAGGCTTGAGGGGTGTGTGTGTGTGTGTGTGTGTGTGTGTGTGTGTGTGTGTGTGTGTGTGTGTTTGGGGAAGTTAGTTAGACCCAGCGATGCTCAGGGCGTACTCCTGGCTCTGTGCTCAAGGTTCACACCTGGAAGTGCTTGGGGAACCATATGTGGTGCTGGGGACCAAGCTGGGGTGAGCTATGGTGCAAGGTATGCAGTGTCCCACCCACTGTATCTGCAGAAATGTCTCCCGAGGGCTCATGAGGGCATCCAAAGATCCTCATCCAGCTTCTGCCACCAAGGAACCATATGGCCCCAGTTTTGTTCGCTCCCAACTAGATGAAAGTGGAATAAGGTGGACCCCTCATCCTGGCTATGACCTTCAGGTCTTTAATTAACCCCGTCACTAGCTATATGGGTTTGGAGCCACAGTTTTACCATCTGCACAATAGAGGGGAGGGCTGGGCTGATGCTAGTTATCTTTCTTTTCTTTTCTTTCTTTCTTTTTTTTTTTTTTGCATTTTGGGTCACACCTGGCGATACACAGGGCTTACTCCTGGCTCTGCACTCAGGAATTACTCCTGGCTATAGCTCAGGGAACCATATGGGATGCTGGGAATCGAACCCGGGTCGGCTGTGTGCAAGGCAAACGCCCTACCTGCTGTGCTATCACTCCAGCCCTCTTTTAATTTAGATATTCTTATCTTTCTTTTAATTTGGTGATACCACCAAGAACATAGGCTCCCCCACTTGACCTCAGCCCCAGTCCCAACCCCCTTTCTCTTCCTTCCCCTCCTTCCCTCCTCTCCCCTCATTGACACACTATGAGAAAGAAGTTTGTCATCATCACTAAAGAGAAGAGGAGGAGAAGGGCTGGGGAGGGTGAGACGCAAGAGGAGACGCAAGGCAAGAGGAGTTGAAGCTGTGGGAGTTGGAGCAGGCGGAGACTGGGAGGAGGGGTTCTGGGTTGGGGGGGGTTCTAGATGGGAGGAGGAGTTCTGGATGGGGATGGGGTTCTGGATGAGGGAGGTTCTGGATAGGAGAAGGGATTCTGGGGGTGGGGTTCTGGGTGGGAAGAAGGGTTCTGGATGGGAGGGGGGAATTCTGAATGGGGGAGGGGTTCAGAATGGGAGGAGGGATCCTGGGTGGGGGAGGGGTCCTGGGTGGAGGAGGGATTCTGGATGAGGGAAGGGTTCAGGATCAGGAAGGGGTTCTGGTTGGGAGCCTGGGAGGCTGAAGGGCTACACCCGACTGTGACTTGGCTCCCCATGTCTGATGCTGTGCACTTCCGCTTCCAAAGAACTTCCTCCTGGTCCTCCAAGGCCAGTCTGAGTTCCAGGCCAGCCCCCCCCCCCCCCCCCACACACACACACCGGCTCTGATTGGCCTTCACAGTTTCTGGGGCTAAGAGACCACTTCTATGCTCGGATTCATCTCCACAACCCCCCAACCTCCCCACCCGCCAGACTCACCTGCATCCACTGGGAGGCAGAAGTCTGCAGGGCAACAGGGCTTGGTTCTCTCACTGAGGTTTTCTTAGCAGAGACAAATCTGAATCTCAAGTACTTTGATTTGTCAAAGATATGTTTAAGCCCTCAGAGATGTAGAAACGGTACAAAGGCAGGGAGCAGCCTGGCGTCAGGCTCCTGGTGCTGCCTCTCCTTACTCGGGGTGGGCTCTGCGGGGAGCTTGCAGAGGATACACACAATTCCAGGGTCCCACCCAGCTCTACCCCTTCCTGGTCTGCATTCTTACAAGGCGACTTGAAAGAAATAATGGGTTCAAGGGCCAGGGTTAATTATAGCTCGGTGGCAGAGTTCAGCCTTGCATTGTGAGGTCCTGGGTTTGAGACCCCACACTGCAAAAAAAAAAAAAAAATCAGTGAATCAATTATATGTTGCTGTCTGGCTGTGACAGGAAATTCCACACTGGGGGTGCAGCCTGGAGAGTGCGCTGCTCCCCAGCTGGTGCCAGCATCCCCGGAAAGCTGCCTCCGGAGACAGTGAGCCCACAGCCTGCTCTTCCATGGCCAGCCCACCCCCCCACCCCACCCCCCTGCTTCCCTCCACCAAGCCCCCTGATTCCCTCCAACCCACCCCACTGCTTCCCTCCACTCCACCCCTCCTGCCTCTCTCTACACCACCCCTCCTTCTCTCTCTCCTGCCTCTCTCCATCCCAACCCCTCCTTCCCCTCCACCTCACCCCTCCTGCCTCTCTCCACCTCACCCCTCCTGCTTGTCTCCTGCTTCTCTCTACCCCACCCTCCTGCTTCCCTCCACCCCTGCTTCCCTCTACCTCACCCCTCCTGCCTTCTCCATCCCATCCCTCCTGCTGCCCCATCTGGCTCAGAGCTCTCGGGCCAGCAGAACTCCAGGATTCCCCCGGAGCTCTGTCAAAGGGGCAAAGAGAGGCACACAGCCCCAACCCTCACCCCACCAGACCCAGGGACACAGAGACCACCCCCGCCCCGCCCGCCCCCGCCCCCACATACACACACAGCCCCCTTTTCCGGACGCCATCTCTTGCCTCCCTCTGCACCTCACAGCCCAGCACCACCCCCTCCCCCACCCTTGTTTCTCTGTCCTCCACTCCAGGGCCACTAGATTGCTATCTCCCTGGACAGGAAAGGCGGGAGGGATTGTGCAGGACATTGGCTCAGGCCTTGGGCCCCACCGCAGGGTGCCCGACTCTCTCCTCAAGCCTCTCCCCAAGGCCCCTGCAACCTGGCAGCCCTCATGCCTGCACTTCCACAGAGCACAGCATCACACGTGAGCAGCGCCCCTGAGAGATGCCCCTTCTGTCCAGAAGGGAAAGCAAGGGGCCCAGATAAGGGGAGAACAGCCAGGCAGGGTGCAGGTCAGTGTCAGCCCCCCCCCTCCCCCCAGTCCCTTTCCAAGGCTCTTCCCTCTGCACGGCTCTTGTGAGAGGAAGCAAAGAGCAGATTCTGGCGTAGGCGCAGACAAGCTGGAGAGAGGGGCCCACTGGGACCCAGTCCTGTACTAAGGAGGCTGCCCCTGAAAGAGAAGAGTGGACTGTGCCCTGTTTTCTTCCTGCCCCCATCCTCCTGGCCCCGGAGTCAGGGTCAGGCCTCAGAAGAAACCAACTCCTCCCCATACACAGGAGTAGACACAACTGCCGTTTATTGAGCAGCTACTGTGTGCCAGGGACTGTGCTGAGCACCTCTCTAAGATATCTGTATCCCCTTTCAATAGGTGACTGAATGAGGATCAGAGAGGTTCATTAACAGGTCTGAGGCCACACAGCTAGTAAAAGAGCAGTGGAGCAGGAGACAAGAATTTCAGCTAGAAAGCACCTCAGAGGCATCCCCCCCCCCCGCCCCAAAGCTGGAACCCAGCTCTGCGTGCTCTGACATGTCAGAGGTCTTGGTGCCAGAAGGAAGGATGCACCTAGGGGCTGGGCACTCCCCCCTCCCCACCTGCAGCCCCTCCTCTTGGAGGCCCACCAAAGGGCTTGGAGCCCAAGGCACTGTGATGGCAGAGCTAATGCCCAGTCTTCATCAGATCGGGGAGCAAAGCCCCTGCCCTGTGTGTGACCTCAAGCCTCAGTTTCTTCCTTTGTCGATTGCCCCCCCCCCCCACCCAGCAAGTTGTTAGAAGGAATGGAAGAGTGTTGTGTCAAGGGGATAAATCAGTGCAAAATATGGGGACTGGCACCCTCCAGATCTGGGAGTGCTTTCCCTCCTGGTGCCCGGAGCGAGCCTTTCCACAGAAGGAAACAGAGGAATGAGCCGTCGCCTGGAGCCTCTGGAATGTGGCAAGGCTCCCTGACACCCAGGCCTCTGAGTCCGGCTCTCATTAGCTCCCGACTAAAAATAACCCCGCACCACACCTTCCTCCAGGCCTGGGGGGCAGGGATGGGGGGGCTTGGGGGTGCCTAAACCACCTCTGGGGGCCGGCCAGCCATAACAGCATTCGGAACACAGGGGGCACACAGAGCAGGGCGTTTTATTGAAGGAGATACAGAATGGGGTGCGGGCTCCTGCCGTCAGCCAGCCCACACCTCCTGGGACTCCTGGACACCCCCGCACCCGCGCCTGTACAAGGGTAATACAAAGGGGGGGGTCTTACCCAGCCTCGCGAGAGGTGCCAGGAGGGCCTCCCGAGTTCTGCTGGGGAGAGGACTGGGGGGACAGAGGATGGTCCCTCCCCGCAGTCCCTGGCAGGCAGGGGCCGCCCGGATGCCCATCACCTGCCACAGGACAGACAGTCCGGTCACTTGCAGCTCTGGAGCCGGGTCCTGTGGTGCTTCTCCTCGGTCAGCAGCGGATGAAGGTGTCGCTGTGCGAGATCTTCAGCCGGCTGCCCCAGCTCAGCGCCTCCTTGCCGGCCGGCTCGGGCGGGAGGATGTCCAGGGAGCCGCTGGCCTTGCCCTCGCCGGCCGCGCTGCTGGAGTTGAGCTCCATGAGCTCCAGCTCGTGCTTGGCCGCCGTCTCCAGGACCCGCTGCTTGTTGTAGTACCTGACGAAGTTGTTGATGATGGGGTGGATGGGTAGGGCGATGGCGATGACCCCGCACAGGAAGCTGATGGCCGCGTTGAGCTTGCCCAGCGTGGTCTTGGGGTAGATGTCGCCGTAGCCCACGGTGGTCATGGTGATGATGGCCCACCAGAAGGACTGGGGGATGCTCTTGAACAGGGTCTCCGGTGGCTCTGCTCCATGGTGTAGCCCAGGGCGGAGAAGACGAAGATGCCCACCGCCAGGTACATGAGCAACAGCCCCAGCTCCTTGAAGCTGCGCTTGAGCGCGTAGGTGAGGGTCTGGAGGCCCGACGAGTGCCGCGCCAGCTTGAAGATGCGCGCGATGCGCATGATGCGCAGGGCCTGCACGGCCTGCTGCACGTTGGTCAGCTCCATCATGCGCGCGCCCAGGTGCGTGAGCGTGAGGCTGACGTAGAAGGGCAGGATGGCCAGCACGTCCACGATATTCATGAAGGACAGGGCGAAGTGCAGCTTGTTGGGCGAGGGAGAAGAGGCGCAGCAGGTACTCGAGCGTGAACCAGCCGATGCACGCCGTCTCCACGTTCTCCAGCGTCGGGTGCTCCACGCGGTTGCCCTCGGCGTCCAGCACCTGCAGCTCGGGGATGGTGCCCACGCACATGACCACGGAGGAGATGAGGATGAGCAGGAAGGAGAGCACGGCCACCACGCGCGCCGGGCACGAGGACTCGGGCTTCTCCAGGAACTTCCAGACGCACTTTTGGCAGCGGCGCCAGCGGCCCTCGGCCGCGTCCACGCCCAGGTCGTCCAGGATGAGCCGCACGCGGCGCGCGATCCTCCTCCAGCTCCTCGCGCTTCTCGCTCAGGTGGCTCTTGCAGCAGTCGTCCAGGAACTTGAGGTCCACCTTCCAGAAGTCCATCTCGTTCTTGAAGCAGATGGGGCAGATGCCCTTCTTCATGTGCACCTCGCCGAAGTAGTACACCTCGATGACGCACTTGAAGGCGTCGGGGTCGCGGTCGAAGTAGAACTCGCGCTTGCCGGGGTCGTAGTCGTCACACAGCGAGAAGATGGTGTCGTAGCCCCCCCGCCAGGCAGTGGATGAGCTCGGCCAGCCGCGTCTCGGGGTACTGGCTCAGGAGGTCTCCGTACAGCACCTGCCGCACGCCCCCCACGTTCACCACGATCTCGATGTCGTCGTCGTCGTCGCCGCCCGCCCGGGAGTCGCGGCTGCCCGCTCGGGCTCGGGCTCGGGCTCGGGCTCGGGCACGGGCTCGGGCTCGGGCTCGGGGTCCGGGTCGGGCTGGGGCTCCGGGTCGGCGCGCTCCTCCTCCCCGATCATCCTCCCGCCGGGCGCCTTGGCAGCTCCGGCTCCGCGCCCCGCCGCGCCGCGCCGCTGCTCCCGGGGGGCTCCGGCGGCTCCCGGCGGTGCGCGGCGCTCGGCGCGAGCCCGGCCGGTGCCCACCTGCCTGCTCCGGCGCTCACAGCGGGCAGCCGCCGGCGGGCGCGCGCCGCGGGAGACGCCTGCAGCGGGCGGCCGAGCTCAGGGCGGGCATCCGGGCGCCGGGGTGGCGGGGGGTGGGGGGGGGTGGGGGGCGGCTCTGGCGGCCACCGCCGGCCTCGCTCCCCGCCCCGGGTGGCACTCACCCGGCTCCCGCGCGCGCGCGCGCGCGCCGCGATCCGCCGCCGCTTCGGGGTTCGGCTTCCTGCAGGCGCTGGCGGGGCTGGTGGGGGGCGGGGGGCACCCCTAGAGGGCGGCGGGCACCTCCGCAGCCCCGAGGCGCGCAGGCGGCGGCAGCGGCGGCGGCGGCGGCGGGTCCCCGCGTGCGCCCCCCACGCGGAGCGTGTCCGCGAGCCGCGGGACCCACGCAGCCGGCGGAGGGGAGCGCGCCGACAGACAGCGAACTTGGGCTGGCTTGGCCCGAGCCGTTTCCAAACACAATAGGAATTCCAGCCTGACGTCAAGCGCCTTTTAAACGGTCCCCTCTTCTGGTGAAACCCCGAAAGGCACGCGCGGTGTGGGAGCGGGTGAAGCCGTGGGCTCGGGGTGTGTGTGTGGGGGGGGGGGGGGCACAGCTGCAGCGCCGGTGTCTTGGGGGCCACCGCGCCCACGCCGCTGCCTGCCCAGCCGGCCTTCAGCGGGTCACCAAAGGGGCCCAGGAACCACCCACCACGCTGCAGGCTGGCCGGGAGCTTGCTCCTCTGCTGCTGTTTCGGAAGACAGCCCAGAACTTGGCCACCTGTTGCTCAGTGGCAGGTGTGTGTCTGGGGTGGAATGTCAAGTCCCTCCCTCCCCCCACCCCCCAAAAGGCCCCTAGCACCAGAGTGCCCGCACTTCAATGATTGCCCGCTCCTTGAAGCTTCCCTGCTGCCCTGCCCTGGCTGGCACTGCCCCTGAAACAGTGCCATCTCGCCCAGCCCCATGCCGGGAGCCACAGAATGGGCCCAAGGCAACACAGCGCGGTGGCAAGCGAGCACAGTGTGGCCACCTCTTAATCCAGGGCTTTCCTGCCGCCCTCGCTCCTCTCTCACCTGCAACCGGGAGGCAGGTGGAGTTCCCCATCAAGGCCTCACTGCCCACCGCCGGCCATTTCTCCGCATTAGGCTAACAGCCAGCCTCCCTCGGGGTTCGGTAGCCCTGGAGTGCCCTCTGCTCCTATGCCCAGTTTCCCCGTTCTGAGGCCAGTGGCTCTTGGCTCCTCTCTGCAGGGCCGCACACCCAGCAGCTTTGTCAAGTCATGAAGTCCCGGCTGCTTCCCCACCCCTCCCAGCACAAGCCACCAACTTTCCCAACTGACTTGACTTAACACACTTCCAGCTTCACCATCAGCATCAACAAGGGAAGTGCTCCTCTCTGGGACGGTAAAGCTGAGGGAGATTGAGCATGAAGAAGTGTGGGCAGAGGGCATGTGGGAACTTCGTGTTCCACTTTGCTGTGGTCCTCAAACTACTTTAAAAGACTTGTAGGCTGGGCTTTTTTTTTTCTTCAGTTTTTTTTTTTTTTTTTTATTGAATCACTGTGGGAAAGGTTACAAAGCTTTCAGGTTTATGTCTCAGTCATGCAAATATCAAACACATTTCCCTTTACCAATACTTATTTTTTACCATGAAGAACCCCAATAAAACCCCACCCCCCACCCCTCCCCGTCCCTGTGAGGCAGATGAATTCTAGTTAACACTCTATCTGCTTTGATTAGATTCATTGTTTCAATAAAAGATTCACCACTATTTTTTAGAGTTTACCCCCCCCCCCCCCAATCAGACATGCTGAAAAAGCATTGTGAAGTGATTTGCTTTCTACAGCTGGGTTCAAGAATTAAATGTTGGTTTTGGATTTCTGCTATTTTACCTATTGACCCTGGAGGTATTTCTACTGAAAGTCAGATAGTTAAGAATAGGCTGGGCTTTAAAGCTTGCAGTTCTAGGGGTCCTGAAGGGATAGGACAGCGGGTAGGGAGGACATTTGCCCTGCACATAGCCGAACCTGAGGTTGTTCCCTGGACCCCTGAGCCCTGCCAGCAGTGATCCCTGAGTGCAGAGCCAATGATCTCTGAGCACTCTGGTGGATGTGGTCCCAAATAAACAAAAACGTTCGCCAGTCTAGCAATTAATGAATCATGAAATTAATTTTCACAGGATTCCTTTTCCTTAAAGAGCTAGTATAAAATGAAATACTTTAGAATGCATCAGACAAAGTAAGTGCTGCATAGTCTTACCAATATTATTCGGTTTCCCTTTTAAATCCACTGATGCCGTGTTACGTCAGCATAGGAAACAGATTTAGAGAGGTTTGGGGCCACGATAGTCGCCATGTGTTACAGGTGCACCACAAGCCCAGTGCTCACTGAATGCTTTGCACTTATTTGGAGAAACCGCAGGGTTTTTAGGTTTTTCTTTTCTTTTCTTTTCTTTTTTTTGTTTTTTTTTTTTGAGTGTGAGGGTAGAATTCTTTGAAGGTAAGTATTTTTTAAACATTTTTAATTAAAATATTTTTCTAATTAAGATGGCATTCTTTTATATTTTCTTTCTTTTTTTAAACATTATTTTTTATTTAGATTTTTTATTAGTGAAACACCATGAGATACAGTTGTAGATTTACAAATTTTTGTGCTTGGATTTCAATTTTACAATGATCGAGTAACCCATCACTCCACCAGTGCCCGTTCTCCACCACCACTGATCCCAGTATCCCTCCCACCCCCCTTCTTTTATATTTTTATTTTACCTTTTTATTGAATCACAGGCAGAGTCTCCTGCCCCTGTGCCTGGCTGTCCTCGCCGGAGCCCGTTGGAGGGGGCGGGTTGAGTTTCCCTCCCCGCCCCGAGCAGAGCTCCGGCAGCCGAAGACCTCCAGAACCAGCCACAAACATGCTGAGACCACTCTCCACATGCATGAAGGTACCGGCAGAGGAACAAAGGCATGCGGTTCCCGGGGCTGAGATCTCCAAGCCTGCTCAAATTGGGGCTGAGCATCCTCCACACAGATCCTTCATCTTCCAGTAGGCGGAGGTCACACCCACCAACTGACCCCCCCCCCCCCCCCCGGTGCCATGTAATTCCATCAACGGTCAAGACCCAGAGACTATAAAACCCAGCTCCCGGAAGCGACATCTTATTATCTCATTCTTACTTTGGACAACCTGGCAGGCTACTGAATGTAACCTGCCCACACGGCAGAGTCTGGCAAACTCCCCGTGGTGTACCCAATATGCCAAATACCAGTAACAATGATGGGTCTCATTCTCCTAACCCTGAAAGAGCCTTGAATATGGCACTTTAAAATCTCAGGGCTAGGACGAAGGAGATGTTACTGGGGCCTGCTCAAGGCAATCGACGAACAACAGGATGACCGTGATCGTGATCGTGATTGAATCACTGAGACATAGGCCCTTACAAAGCTGTTCATGATTGAATTTCAGTCATACAGTATTCCAACACCTGTACCTCGACCACTCAACAAGTGTACATTTCTCAGCATTAGTGTCTCCAGATTCCCTCCCATCACCCCCCAGCCCCCACCCCCTACCTGCCTCTATGACAGGTGCTTTTCTTCTCTCTCTCTCTCCCTCCCTCTCTCTCTCTCTCTCTCTCTCTCTCTTTCTCCCCTTTTGGACATTGTGGTTTGCAATATTATACTGCCAGAATCTGGAAACAACCTGAATGCCCAAGAACAGACAATTGGATAAAGAAACTATGGCACAGCTACACAATGGAATACTATGCAGCTATTACTAAAAATGAAGTCATGAAGTTTGCCTATAAATAGATGGACATGGAGAGTACCAAGCTGAGTGAGTTGAGTGAGAAGGAGAGGGACAGATAGAGAATGACTGCATTCATTTGATATATATATATATATATATATATATATATATATATCACTGTCACTGTCCTCCCATTGTTCATTGATTTTCTCGAGTGGGCCCAGTAACGTCTCCATTGTGACAATTGTTACTGTGTTTGGCATATCTAATACATCACAGGGAGCTTGCCAGGCTTTGCTGTGCGGGCAAGATACTCTCGGTAGTTTGCCAGGCTCTCCAAGAGGGGCAGAGGAATTGAACTCGGGTCGGCCATGTTGGCTGCATGCAAGGCAAATGCCCTACCCGCTGTACTATCGCTCCAGCCCAATATATATATATATATATGTATATATATGCATATATATGAAAATGACAGTTTTTTAAAAAAATTTTATTAGTGAGACACCATGAGGTACAGTTATAGACTTAGAAATTTTTGTGCTTGGGTTTCAATTATACAATGATCAAATATCTATCCCTCCACCAGTGCCCATTTCCTACCACCACGGATCCCAGTATCCCTCCCTCCCCATCCCCCCCATCCCACTTTGCCTCTGTGGCAGGGCATTCCCTTTTGTTCTCTCTCTCTCCTTTTGGGTGCTATGGTTTGCAAGAGAGGCATTCAGTGGCAATCATGTTCGGTCTATAGTCTACTTTCAGCATGCATCTCCCATCCTGGGAGGATCCTCCCAACACCCTTTATTTGGTGCTCCCTTCTCTATCTGAGCTCCCTTTTCCTAAAATGGCAGGTTTTTAACAAGGAGGCAAGGTGCAAGATTACTGGTCAAGGTTGTGCAACCAGCAAGTGGTAAAGTTGGGGTTTGAACCCTGATTATCTGCTAATCCTATGTATCCCACATCCTGTCACACACAGCTAATAAGAGGAAGAGCTGGGATTTGCCCAAGGCCTGCTTGGCTCTATAGTTTCAATACAAAGAAGCACCCTAGATCCCCCCAACCCCTCCCCACACACACATTGTTCTTCTAGTCCTTGCTCAGACCACTTCTCTATTGTCCTCAGTTGATCCCTAATACTAGCAGGGCATCTTAGTCTAAGTGCAATGAGTTAAAATCACCCACTCAATTGTTTTTCAGATACTTATTGACCTTCTATCACACACGTACACACACACACACACACACACACACACACACACACACACTAATTAGGGTTTATACTCTGGAGATGTTTTGGTAGTTAAGGAGAATAGTTTGTAGACATTAGCAGCCCCCAGACGTCTGTGCAAGGGAACTGAGGTTCCTAAGCTTCCCTATAGGAGGCGCTGAGGGTGGGATCTGGTTGGATGTGGTGAGCCTGTATTTGCTTAGAATCCCTGAGTTTGCTTGACTCAAGGTGTGTAATGAAGGCCCCCAGGCAGACAGACACTTCCCGACAACGCAGGATTAGAGGAAGACAGTTTCACAATGTCCAAAGTGATGAGGAAGCCCAGGCGTTGGAAGACACCTCTCCAACTCAGCAGCTGCGGAAGATATGGCCTCTGGCAGAGCCTTGCACTGAGCCTGAAGAGCAGAGCCTTCATGGGGGACAGCTGCCTGTGTAGAGGAAGGCACTGGCCTTGGAAGTGGGGCTCCAGGCTGCAGAGGGCAGGGCTGGAAATAGACAACGAACCCAAGTGTGTTTGGGGAGCAGTTTGGATTCTGAGCCAATTATGCAAACTTCAGATTGTTCTTCAATAGTTGGTTGTTTGTGCAATTGATTTATACTGGTGTATTTATTGAGATCATATAGAATGAAAAACAGGCATGGGCATGACAAAAATAACTTTGACAGACATCTTATCCACATAGCCAGAGGCTAGCTCTGCCTCCAGCATGACCAGTTGGCACATTGCAGCCCTTGCAAGGAGAATTGGAGGTGGGGGAGGGGGTTCCTGAGTGAAAAGGGGGAAGAAGGAGCAGCAAATGCCAAATATAGCAGATAAAATTCCCCCGGAACAGGACTTAGAGGAGCAGATGCTCGAGGGTGACAGCTGTAAATCACTAGGGCAAGGTCTGGAAGGAGTCTGAAGTTGGAGGCTGTAACAGAGGGCCAGGAGGATGCCTGATGGAAGCCAGGAGCAGAAAAGGAAAGATGCCAGGCAGCCACGGGAATTCTACTTCCCACGGAGCAGCCTCAGTTAACGGGGAGAGAGGTTCAGGAGTTCACTCACCAGCCCCTCAGTCCCGCTAGCTATAAAATGGGTACATGGGACTCAAGTATCCACGTGCTTTTTCCATGTAATAAAAGTGGCAATTGAAT